CACACAGATATTATATGACAAAAAATAAGTGCATCAGTTTTCCGGTGACATTTAGTGTTCCTGGTGTCTGCTTCTCATCTCGTCTGATCTGGCGTCTCCCTATCTCTTAATCACAAGGCTCCTTACCCACGACTGCCTCAGAGAGGAATTTGATAGACATCCTGTCTCCATTCTCGCCTCCTGGGAGCAGGCCTAAAGATGACAATCAATTCATTTGGTAATTGGTATCTTGCTGTCTCTCTACTTAACTTCCCAAAGTCCATCCAACCTCAGTGTTGGTGCTCTGGCAGTTTCCTTTGGGCATTTACACAAGTAAGTGGCTGACCTCTGACCAGCTTGTGAAAGATACCTATTGGACTGTGTCTCTATTCACGGACAGAGCTCTACCATGGAGGCTGCAGGGCTGCCCTCTGCCTGACCCTGACTTGTAAACGTCCGGGAAGCACAGACTGACCTTGCTGAGGATTCTAGGCCTGGGGGCTTTCAGTCCTTTGGGTGCTGACTAAGCACTTACAGAGCCCCCCCCCCAACCCCCACCCCCTGGCTGCCCCCATCTCAGGGCCTAGGAAATTTGTCTTTGACTATGTAGCATTTATATGCCATGATTTCCTAGGAAATCCCACCTCTCTATTGCCCAACCTATTCTGTCATGCCTGACACTCCTTTAATCACTGACACTACCATTAACCCATTAAAGCCAAAATTTTTAAAAACCTCTAGGAATAGTTTGATTTTTTAAAAATGCAAATTTTTTATTGAAGTATAATATTCACACATAAAAGTACGCAAACCAGGGGCACCTGGGTGGCTCAGTCGGTTAAGCATCTGACTTCTGATTTCCGCTCAGGTCCTGATCTCAGAATCATGAGATTGAGCCCCACACCCTGCTCCACAGGGAGTCTGCTTGCTATTCTCTGTCTCCTTTCCCTCTGCCCCTCTCCCCATCCTTTCTCTCTCTCTCTAAAATAAATAAATCCTTAAAAAATGTACACAAAGCATAAGTACAAATGAACCACTCGTACTGAATGCAAGGATCAAGAAACAGAATATTGCCATCTTCCCCAGAAGCCCTCCCCACCACTGCCTTGTACCCCCTTCTTGTTACTTGCTCTTGACCCATCAGGGAAACCATTTATCCTGACTCTATATAGATGAGATTGTAATATGTGTATTCTTTTGCATATGCAATGTTTCTTTTGCTCAGTATTATATTTATGAGATTCATCTCTATGGTCTTCCATTGTGTGAATAAGCTACAATTTACTCAACTATTCTAATGCTGATGGACACTTGGGTTGTTTCTAGTTTTTTATTTATAAATAGTGCAGTTATTTGTAACTAGTGTTCCATAGTTCAGGTCTTTCAATGAACATATGTATAGTCTTATGTTGAAAATACACTGAGGAAAAATAAAAAAACTTAAAATTAAAAAAATTGAAAAAGAAAATACACTGAGGAATAGAATACATGAGACACAGGATATATTCATCAGTGCTAGATCCATCCTTTCCATTTAACCATTCTGGAGCATGTGTAATGGGGTATGTTGTGTTCCTAGTTTCCATTTCTTTGATAACTACTAAAGATGAGCAGTTTGTTTTATATGCATTGGCCATTTGGATATCATTTTTTGGTGAACTATTCATTGGAGACTTTGGCTAAATTTTCTATTAGGTTTTCACCTTTTACTTAAAGGCTTTTAAAGTTCTTCATATAATCTGATAATTTGTGAAATATGCATACTGCAATATTTTCCCTTACTTCGTGAATTAAGTTTTCATTGTTCAATAGCTTTCAGAATGAACAGAAGTCGTTAATTTGTTGCTTTTTTCCTTTATGGTTAGCCCTTTGTGTGTTCTGTCTAGGAAGATTTTTTTTAAGATTTTATTTATTTATTGACAGAGAGATGGAGAGAGCACAAGTAGGCAGAGGGTCAGGCAGAGGGAAAGGGAGAAGCAGGCTCTCCACTGAGCAGGGAGCCCCATGCAGGGCTTGATCCCAGGACCCTGGGATCATGACCTGGGCCGAAGGCAGTTGCTTAACTGACTGAGCCACCTAGGTGCCCTAGGAAGATTTTTTATGCCCTAAGGAAGACATCATCAAATATCATGAAGATGTTTTCCTGTGTTCTTTGAAACTGACTTTTGCGTATGGTGTAAAGTAGGAATCAGTATTTTCTTACATATTATTTAATTGACCCAGAACTATTTATTGAAAAGTCCACCCTTAAAACTATGTCATTAATTATGGGATTATATATGAGTGGATCTGTTTCTGGGTTATATTCAAGCAGCAGTTAATTTTTAAACTTATTCTCAAGAAAGAATGCTTGTAATCTGCTTCTTTCCTCAAGTAGTATTCATTACATACTCCTTATGAACTAGGCATCATGCTAAGCATTTTTGCTACATCATTTAATTTTAAAACTCATTAACCCCCTGTAAGATAGCTACTAGTATAATCTCTGTTTTGTAGATGAAGAAATTAAGACTCGGAGAATGAAAAATTTGCCCAAGATTTCCCACCTAGTAAGTGGAAGACAGTCTGGCTGACTTTGATATGTGTCTCTTTACCATACTATTTCCCAGAGCAGCTTTCTGAGCGGGCGAAAAGAGTATGTATGTTGACAGTGAAAGGTAATGAGGAGGAGTGAGACTAACTTCCCTCACTCCCACCACATCCCTATCATAGTATTTTGTTGCTTTATTTGAGTTATATGGCACATGGCACTGGTGTACATTTAAATTTTCACATTCATTGAAATAATACACTTTATAGATTAGGAACTATAGGCTTATGCCATTTGCTAGGTAGTTGGCATATAATAGAATATATATTTCCAACCTGAGGCTTGAACTCACAACCCCGAAATTAAGAGTCTCATGTTCTACTGACTGAGCTAGCCAGGCGCCCCCACAGAATATATTGCTGTTTTTATACTATAAATTCTTTATTACTTGTTAACCTTTGAGAGTAAGGATTGGCTTTTATATATTTGTAACCCTTATATATTTGCAACTCTACCCAGAGCAAGCACTACAATTAATATTTATGTTTTTATAGTTGTTGAGCTGATTACTAACTTGAGATTTTCTGTTCAGGTAGCTTTTCTATCCTGTACAAATTATTTTTAGTTCAGATTGCATGATTCATCCCTAACATATATTTCCTATTTTTTTTCTCTTTCAATAATTGCTGCCTCAAAGGGAAAAATACAAATCTTTAGCTGAATGATCTGGCACAACAAATCTGAAATTCTTAAAGTGTTAGAACCAGAAGCTACTTTCCACACAATCAATGAGTTAAAAGAGAGGGAGAAATTGATAGATAGAGACACAGAGACAAAAAGCTGAGTCTTGTAGAGAGACAAGCATTCCTAGTTCTAGACCTTCACCAAGTCTGTGGTTTTAAGTTCTGTGCTTTAATTTCTCACGTGCAAAATGGGGCTAATAACAGGGCTTGTTTTTAAGAGTAAAATGAAGAAGTGGACAAAAACATACCAAGAATGGTAGAAAAATGCTATTAAATGTCAAATACTGGTAGAAAGTAAATTGAATACCAGGTACAGATGTATTTTATGTATTTTAGTGATAATAAAATAACTAAATATAGATTTTAGATTTTTACTAAAATAAGGAACTGCTTGACAAAGTAATTCATTATAGTATAAGTATAATGTTAAATTGTGAGTCTTCCTATTACTTCAAATTTTTTGAGTAAATGTCTTTATTGAAGCATAATCTGGAGCCCCTGGGTGGCTCAGTCAGTCTAGCATTGATCTTGATTTCAACTCAGGTCATCAACTCAGGGTCCTGAGCTCAAACCCTGCATCTGGCTCTGTGCCATGTGTGCAACCTGCTCAAGGCTCAGTCTCCTTCCTCCTCTGACCTTCCTTTGCCCACTCAAAAAAAAAAAAAAAAAGAAAAGTATGATCTGATTGTATTTTGAAATAACTGAATTTACACTACTTTGACTTACAGATTTTTAAGATCACATTCACTGCATTGAGTAAAACAGGATTTATCTATAATTTACTGTCAGAAATAGAAGGGGGCCTTGAATATCGTTATCTTCTGTTTAGCGCAGAAGAAGTAAAATGATATGTATGTTAAGTGCCAACGTTTTCTCTGAAATGGGCCCACTGTAAAAGTCAGTGGCGTGCCAGTTCAATTCACCAAATATTTAATTAGCGCTTCTGATTTCCAAGGAACTGTGTAGGGGGCTGAGGAGGCAGCAAGGATGAACAGCATCCTCTGAAGGCAGGCAAGACCTGAACCCAGTAACTAGTCTGCAAAGCAGAATGAGAAACATAGAAAAGGTACAACACAGGGAGAACCTAGTGGAGCTCAAATAATTAAAATTTCCTGCTTACTTTTTCCCCCCCTTTTTCTTCTTTTTTTAAAAGAAATCTTTTGGATCCGTTTTCACATGTGCCAGGTGGTTGTCTGCAGACAATCTGCGACCCTGTGAAATCTCCTATTCCCTCTTCTTCCTTTCCTCCCATATTCCATGAGCTCTTCTGCCACTAGCACTGCATTTGGAATAGTATCTATTGTGTGGGTGGTGAAACGATGGAAAGTTATTTTTGTTCTAATTATGAGAACTGTTTTATGGAGTGGGGGAGGAGAGGCAGATCAGAGACACGCAACGAGGATGCTCCGAAAAGGCGTTACTAAGGTTACTAGAAAGAGGACGGCAGGTGATATTCAGGCGGGGTTTTTTCTAAAACAAAACATTTTCAAACGACGGGCGTGGGCGTAGTGTGAGCAGTGCCACACGACAGTAGATGACGGGCTCCCGAAGGGAAGGAAAAAATTGAGGGCTGCAACTTGAGATAGCAGGGAGCCTCTGCTTCCCCTCCCGGACCTGTTCTCCGTCTTCTTTGTTTCCCGGGGCTGGTTCTGGCGTAGCACAAGGTCGCCGCGCCCGAGTACGGTGTTATTTAAATGTGACACGCGGCCGAGCCAGCCCGGAAGCAGCGGCCAATCGGGATCCGTAGGAAGAGGCGGGGAGCAGGCTGCGGCGGCTGTCTCTGTGGCGAGGCTGCGCGGCCGGCGCGAACCAGACGGGCCCTGCAGCGGCTCACTGAGGCCGGGGTCGTCGCTGCAGCCTCCGGGAAAAAGGAAGAGGACTCTGCAGGGCGTACTTGGCAGAGCAGGGAGGAGGGAAGTGGTGTGTGATAAGAACCTTGAGTGTAGCCGGGGTTGGGGAGAAGGACCTCCAAACTTGTTCCTCTTTTGCTGTTAGTTGATTACTTTTTTTTTTCTTGGTAGGTTCTAGAGACACCCGGCGTCTCTTCTCGAAATTCTCTCGGCCCTTGTCAGTCGATTCGTAGCCCGAAGTGAGTGAGAGCTTCTTAGTGCAGTCACTGATTTTTGATGGGTATGGGAAGAAGGAAGATGCCAGAGAAAAAGGGGGAGGGGGAGCAAGGATAGGAGGTGGTGTCGCGGGTTATGGGAACAACATGACTTTAGTAGTAGTCAGCATTTACAGGATTTTTACCGTACTGGACTCTGTTCTAAAACTCTATATGCTGTAGCTTATTTAACGTCCTATCCTATGAGACCGGTACTCTTATTAGCCTCATTATATAGAAGGGGAAACTGAGGCTCAGGTTAAGGAACATGCACAACGAAAGACATGAAAATTTCAGAGCCAGGATTTGTACTCTGGTAGGCTGATGCCAGAGTATTTCTCTAAGCTCCACACAATGGTTGACTCCCATCAAGATGTAAAGAAAATGACATAAAGGGTGAGAAGCCGGTGTGGCTTGAATAGATGGAATAAGACAGCTGGAGCAAGGAGTTGACATGATAAAGGGTGTGAGATCTGCAGGTGTTGACAGATGTAAGGGAGGCTAGAGTTGGAACTGTGGCCTTCTAACCTTTATCTCTAACCTGGGCTAGGACCTTCCTCTCTAGAATTCTGGGGGACAGGGAAGAGGGTGTACACCCACACACCTAAGTTTGAAAAAGTTCACAGACTTTATTCAGGGTAGCCAGGACTAGGGCTGTCATACCTTGTCTTAGGTCCAGTGCATTAAAGTTTAGGGAGTTCTTTCCTCATTTTCCTGCTGCACTTGTAAATATTACAGTTTAAAATTTTTGATAGGTTGTTTGACCGGGACTAGTTCCTTGTAGCCATATGATTTGCCTATGACATCAAAAGTCAAATCATCCTCTGATTCCCCATTAACATGTGTCCCAAATTCAATATAATGCTGCAGCCAGAGGCTTCCAACACAACGGAGTGACAACTGAGCTCTGTCAGTATTTCTAAGAATTTCAGTTAAAAATATGAGCTGGAACAAGATAAAGTTAACTAGGCCAAAGAGCAAGGTTGTTTACTTTGTGGAAACTAGGTTTAAAAGAAAAAGGAAATCTCAACATATGTTGAAAAAAAAGATAGGAAAGTTTTAATGACTTGATAGTGACTGTTCACAAATACAGTGAATCTAATGGAATATAATCATGTTAACATATTCCAGAGGCAGTTTAGAGTAGTTGAAATCATGAGCTTAAGAATCAGGTAGTTCAGTTTAGCCGTTTATTTACTCTATAGTTGATTTACTTTGTTTGTCCTTGATTTCTTCATCTGTAAAATGGAGATCATAGTTCCTAACTTGCAGAAGTGGAAGCAGTGTTTGTTAAGGACCTGCCATAACATCTGGGACAAAGTTGATAAATACAACTGTTAGTACTCCGAGTCAGAAGTGAAGCATTGCTGAACTTGTGAGCAATCAGACAGCAACTTCTAGATTTCATTTTCAATGAGAATGTCAAAGAGTAGCCTCCTGGTAATTAAGGTGTAAAGTGTTGATTCATTTCTGAAAGTTTAGTCTGTTATTTCAAAGTGAGTGAAAGTTTTAGATGCTGGATAGCCCATGAATGGTGATATACCCACCATGATCCTTTACAATTATTATGGCTTTTCAAGATAACTTATTTTTGAACTATTCTGTTTCCCGAACTATGGGCAACTTAAGTTCTAAGTAACTGACATTATGATCCTTTACAGATGCATGGTCATGGAGGCTATGACTCAGATTTTAGTGATGATGAACATGGTGGAGAATCTAACAAAAGGAAAAAAAGGTAAGTAATTTTTTATTGATTTGTGTTTCATATCCTTTCTAGATTGCAATGAGGTATAAATAAATAATACTGAAAGTTTTTGGATTGTGTTTGCATGTGAAGACAACAATGCTCTACTGAATGAATTTTCGTTTATTAAACTAGAATTAATTGACTTGAGAATTTGAGAACATTTAGGTGAAAAATAAGAAAATAGTGTTTATGCTGTGAAGGGATTTATGGGAAGGGAAGTGGGGGAAAAGGGGAATCAATGAAAACTCTTGGATTTCTCTCTTGCATCTATTTTTCATTCAGCTATTAAGGATTTTACTTGCAAACGTCATAGTGAAGAGAAGGGACTTGGTTGGTGGTCCCTTTGCAAGTATGTGACTTCAAAGTGAGGTTAACATGGAGAGTGATATTGTGATATGGTGCATTTTTATGGTTTTGTAAATGAGCAGTCTGAGTGCTCAAAGGAAGGAGCTCATGGAAATTTTTATTGAATTAGAAGGGGCAAGAACTGTCAGCAAATAAAGCCTGGGCCTTATAAGGAGGTCGCACCTTGATGTTGCTGTGTGAAGGGACATTGTTTTCAGCTTTTAGTGTTTAGAAACTGATTTTATCTGTTAACTTAGGAGTGGTTAACTGATTCATATTAACCAAACTTAGAAAAATTGCTATATTATTTCACACCGAGAGCAATATATTGGGTATACTAAATGGGACTGAACATTTTTGTTGGGTACTCCGTCTTCATGGATGACCAAAAGAACAGAAATAATGACAATAAATTATATTGTATGGTTCTTTACATTTTCAAGATTTTTCATTCAAAAATATTACATTGTCAGACTAGAATTAGAGCAAATCTAGTTGAAAAGTTTCTAATCTAGGGTTCTACCTATCTTCAGAACTAGGGCTGATTATCTGTAGTCTGTCTCACTTATAATCCACCCTTATTTTTTTATATTATTGATTACCAAAAGCTTCATTATCTCTACAAATGGGAAAATTGTGGCACGAAGAGATTAAGTAACTTAAATTTACTTAAGGTTAAGATAGTGCATGGCAGAGTCCAGGTTTGGATACCAGAACGTGGGTGATCTGACACCAGAATCCATTTATTTGTTAGTTTCACTTTCTCCATTTTATAAATAATAAAGTTAAGATAGTAATTAAGCTACTTAAGGAGACATAAAATGTCTCATTAAAGATCTGTGAGTCTTTTTTAAGTTAAGACTTGAATTTTTAAAAACCTGTTCCTGTTACGAAAATATGAAGAAACAGGAAACATCCTTTGAGGAAAAATGAGCTCTTTTAATAATTTTTCTTCTTCACAAACCAGGACAGTTGAAGATGATTTATTGCTCAAAAAGCCATTTCAGAAAGAAAAACATGGAAAAGTGGCCCATAAACAAGTTGCAGCAGAATTGCTGGATAGGTATGTACTTTAGTGTAAATTACTTTTTTTCAGTTTAAGATGTTTTTATAAACTCAGGGACTTGGGGATTTAATTCTGTTAATTAGAATATAGACATTTGAATTTGCTTAAAATTTATCTTTTTACAGGGAAGAAGCAAGAAATAGAAGGTTTCACCTTATAGCTATGGATGCTGTATCCTTTTTATATCTCTAGATTTTTTTAATAAAATATTTTAAAATCTACTTTTTTATTTCATAAAATCTTGTGAAGTCAGGTAGACCTATATTATATTTTTAAAGGTAACTGTTTATTGATATGTAACCTTGTCATTTATACTTTTGAGTACAATTTTCTTTTTTTAATACATAAGGAGGACTCAGAAACAAAAATAATAAAACATATTACTAATGATCTATGAATAGGTTTAGAAAGTCCATGAACCTGCAGATATTTTTCCAACTTATTTTTGCCAAGCTGTCAACATTTCTCATTTTAATACTGGTCTTATCTTTAGTCTCATTTTAACTCTTACTCTCTTACTGCTTGGTTCTTGGCTGTTTAAGGTCTTTGTAAAACTTGTATCTAGAAGTATACGTGTTTGTGGTCTGTCCTCAGGCCTCATTCATCTTTCAGGCGTGCCTTGGGGCTGTCGTTAAGTTATATCTTGCTTCTCTATTATAGCCCTGTCTCATCTCAGCTTTTTGGTAAGGCTGTGGCTCGTTACACTGACTGCTGCCACTGGCCATCCATATTACTATTGGGAATATTGGAGAATGAAAGAGAAGACGAACAAGACCTGACATGTTTCTGGGTATTTATTACTATAGTCAGGATTAAGAGAAGGGGACAATGGCAGTTAGATACATCCCCTAACTGTTGACATCTGTTTTACTTTGTTACCATTTCCTAATCCTTTGCTTTAAGTTATAGAAATTCTCTTACCACCAATTTATTCTTCTTATCTTCTAACTCAATAGCTTAACTTTCCCATGGATCTCATCTGTCACTTGTTCCTTTGGCATTTCAGCATCTCTTGTGCCTTCTATGACACCACTTATTTGGGGGTGTTGGGGTATCTAGTCACAGACTGATGAGGGTGAAAGTGTAGGTCCCTTTTTCTGGCATGGGTGGAGGTGGGGCCATGGTTATTTCTAGAATTTTTCACTGGAGTAGCGTAGGTATTGTCTCTAAGTTACCTGTCTTGTTGGGGTGCCCTCTGTCTTGGTTATTCAGTTAGAGAGAGCAGGCTTTGTTGGGACTTTCCTTGTCTGTGCTTGTTGGCATTTTCAGCTTGCCAGCTTCTTCATTTTCAAGTCTGAATTTATGAGTCAAAAAGAAAACCCGGAGAGCTAACCACCATGTGTAACCATGGGTCTTGAGCTCCCTAGCTGTTATGCCTTCATCTCCTCACCTTTCAGGATCTTCGTATATTTGTTTTAGATACAATTTCCAAGGTTTTTAGTTGTCCTTAGTGGGAAGAACAGGGAGAAGTACACCTTTGTCTACTCTAGTTTCCTGGAAGCAAGGTCCCATTCAGCGCCTGTTTTTGTAAATAAAGCTTTATTGGCACATAACTGTGCTTATTCATTGAGGTGTTATCTGTGCCTACTTTTCATGCTAAAATGACAGAGCTAAGCTGTTGTGACAGGTGCCATATTGCCTGCATATTGACTATTGACAGAAAGAATTTGTTAATCGAAAAGATTGAAGTGACTTGCCATGGACATATGACCAGTTAGAGATAGACCAAGAGCTAGAAAGGATGCAAATCTCTGGATATCTAGCTTTTCTCTTTTTTCCTTTTCTGAAAGGTTAACTGGTTTGTTGCCAGTCTTGGAAGTATCGTATTATGGCTCAATATTCCGTTAGAACGTACTGTGATGAATTAAGTCATTATTTATCTTTGATATAGTAGGGTATAGTCAGGCAGTACTGTGGATGAGGTCAGTTCTGTTATTTGCATGTCCAGCTCTGGAGAGAATACTGTTCAGCTTTTCAAAACAAAAAGTAAGATGCTCATATATCTTGTTATATTGCATTAAAAATAAACATGACTGAATTCTTTTTTTTAAAGATTTTATTTATTTATCTGACAGACAGAGATCACAGGTAGGCAGAGAGGCAAGCAGAGAGAGACGAGAAAGCAGGCTCCCTGCTGAGCAGAGAGCCCAATGCGGGGCTCGATCCCAGGACCCTGGGATCATGACCTTAGTCGAAGGCAGAGGCTTTAACCCACCGAGCCACCCAGGCGCCCCTGAATTCTTAAATATTAAAAGAAAGTATTAAAAAAGAACATCTGAGTTCTTATATTCATAGGTTTTTGAAAGCCTAATGTTAGGATTTAATACTATAAAAGTTGTATCTTCTATTTTAGAGGCTTTATCATTACTGGAATAATTAAATTATATGTTAAGATAATAAAAGGTAAATTATACTTCTTTCTTTATTTATTTTTTAAAGATTTTATTTATTTATTTGTCAGAGTTAGAGAGAGAGAGCACAAGCAGGCAGAGTGGCAGGCAGAGGCAGAGAGAGAAGCAGGCTCCCTGCTGAGCAAGGAGCCCCATGTGGGACTTGATCCCAGGACGCTGGGATCATGACCTGCACTGAAGGCAACAGCTTAACCAACTGAGCCACCCGGGTGTCCCAAATTATACTCCTTTAAATTTTAGACACTATAACTTTTCATATTATGATTAAAGTGAATATTGCTGTGAATCTGTGTGTATTTCAACAATAGAAGCTCTCTTTCTCCCCAGGTAGAACTATATTTTATCACAAGAGTAGTATATGCTTGAAAAATGTTAAAAACAATAGGAACAGTATTAGGTAGAAGGTGAAAGCCCCTCTGCTCTACAGTATTGACTCCTAACAGTTAATATTTACCCTTTTAGATATATTTTTAAAAAGATTTATTTATTTCAGAGAAAGAGAGAGCATGTGAGTGGGGGGAGGGGCAAAGCAAGAGAGGGAGACGAGCAAACTGCACTGGTCATGGAGCCCCACATGGGGCTCAGTCCCAGGACACTGAGATTGTGATCTGAACTGAAACCAGGAATTGGATGTTCAACTGATTGAGCCAGGTGCCCCCTTTTAGATATTTTTTTAATTCATAAGCATATATAGTAGGTTTTGCATATTAAAAAAACTAAGTAGATTTATACTGTTTTTCTTTACTTACTCATTTATCATAGACACAGAACAACTCCTAAGCAAATCAAATCCTTAATTTCTTGCATTTCAGTATCAAAGGCACACAAAATTTGTAAATGACTATATTTTATACTATGGTGGCAAAAAAGAAGACTTCCGGCGATTGGGGTAAGTGTCATGAAGTTCACATAGAACGGGAAGAAAGTGTGGATGTCTTTAAAGACTCACAGCTACCGTGTCTTCAGATTCTGTCCTTCTCTCCAGCTTTCCATTCCAGTTTCCATATAATATCCTGAAGTGGAGAGGCTATCCATAACTTCTTGCCAAGTATCTCATCATGAACCCCATTTCTCTGGCATTTGGCCTCAGGTAGCCTGCTAAGCCAGGTCTGCACTTGGTGATAACAGGTTATGTGACGAACGCTCATGTGCCTGATTATGCAGTAAATTTAAAAAAAAATTTTTGAACAAGGATCTTTGAAATAATTTATTTTTTAGACCTCAGTGTTTGGGATTAGTTTTTAAAAAAAGGTAGGGCAAACAGGAAAAAACCCAACTCTTTCCTATATTTGAGGCTCTTCTATCAGAGCCTCTTGGTTGTGTGTGGGTTTTTTTCCCCTGACTTAATAATTTTCTGAGTTTGGTAAAGCCTTAAAAAACTTTGTATGATCTCATCTACCCCAGATTTATCTCCCCCTCTCAATTTAGCCTGTTTTCCCCAACAATCCTTGTTCTTCCCCCAAACTGTTAGCATCTTAAAATATCATTCCCTCCCCCCATTCTCTTCTGCCCTTACTCAGTCTCTCTAGGAAGCTATAGTAAAATGAGGTATAGAAAACTCTTTACACAGTTTTCAAATGTGATGAAAATGGGGTTATTGACTTTTTTAGATAAAACTTGCTTTCATTATTTTTCCCTTTCCACTTAGTGTTTATTCAAGTTTATTCAGGTTCCTCCTCCTGCCTTTGGTGATTTAGCATCATCTGTATAATTGAAGCCAGCACCATGGGTGAATGGATGCCTTATCCATTTAACTTGCTTCTGGAGCAGCATTCTTTATAAGTGTCTTTTGAAAATATGGAATTCTTTCTCTTTTTTTAAGATTTATTATTTTATTTGAGACATAGAGAGAGAGGGAGAGAGAGGAGGAGCAGGGAGGAGAAGAAGCAAGGAGCCTGATGCATGGCTCAATCCCAGGATGCTGGGACCATGACCTGAGCAGAAGGCAGATGCTTAACAGACCCAGCCACCCAGGTGCCTCAATATAGAAATTGTTTTTATAAGTATATGTACATTCACACGTAAAACTATCTTTATCTTCATGTATTTTTTCTCAAGTGCTAAAAAAACCTCACAGAACTGTTTAACCTCCTAAATTTGACCAATTTTGTGTTTATGTGTAATTGGAATAGTTTTATTTTCCAGGGAAAATGACAAGACAGACATGGATGTTATACGAGAAAATCATAGATTCTTATGGAATGAGGAGGATGAAATGGACATGAATTGGTAATTTTTGCCGTCTAAGATGTAATGCATGAATTGCTTTAGTCCCGTCTCTCCTGCTGTTTCCACGTCTTACATTCAGCCCCGGCATGGAGGAGTTCTGAATGGAGGACATAAAAACATGCCTAGTATTGAGTCTGATTTGGTTCTTTTGGTCATTTTTAGCAGTTTTAACTGACTTCTCATTGCTTGACTTTGTCTTGAAAAGAAAATATATTACACTTTTACCGTATTGTTTGTCGTCCTGTAATATGGTTTTTAAAAATTTTTAAAAATATTTTGGGGAAAAAGTAATACCTGAAAGTGGTTTTAAAAATGTAAACATTGCAAAACGTGAAAAAGAGTAAGGCTCCTCTCCTCTGACTGTCAATCTTCCTGTTTCCTTCCCCGAGAGAGCCACTATTAATAGTTAATGTTCAGGTATTCTATGCACATGTAAGTAATAGGCCTCTTTTAAAACATTAATATTTATATTATATGTGTTGTTTATTTGACATTGCTTTCACGTGGCAGACTGTGGTTGAATTTCTAAATGTAAAAGATTTATGTTTTTTTACGGATCTAGGGAGAAGAAACTTGCAAAGAAATACTATGATAAATTATTCAAGGAATACTGCATAGCAGATCTCAGTAGATACAAAGAAAATAAGGTATGCCTTCCAAATATTTATAGAAAGTTCTTATTTAAGTACCGTATTACTTTTTATTATACTATCACACCCCATATTATTCTTTTAAAGGTGCTAAATGAGCTAGGTTGCCCTGCATCTATGAAGTGTCATTTGGACAGTTTAACTTCTGCAGCTATGAAATTTACAAAGGGCACCTTAGTCAAGGGTGCTTTGTGAGCTGAGGCATGAATAGTCTGAAATTAAACACAAGTGGCTACTGGATCCTGTTTCATCCTAACTCTGGCCTAGAGCCTCTACTGATTATAATGAATGATTTGACACTGCAGAATGATGTCTTGTTTCACAGATGATGTTTGAAATTGATAGGCTTTTTTTTTTTTTTAAATAAATTACCATCTATAAAGAGGCAGATGTACATCTTCTTTTATACCAATGTCTGTGCTAGTAGAATTAACTCTTATCAGTGCTATTTTGTAATGGCAGATTTCCATTCCTGCTTTACATTAGTTACTTTAGTTGATAGTAAAGTGATTTTTATTTCTATCTCAAATTTCACATTCACAGCTAGAGAAAGTAACCTGGAACAGATTATCTCAGTTTGAAATAGGGGAGGGAATGTTGCATAAATCTATGTTTTGGATAGTGTACATTCATATTAAGACAGAGAATCTATTTTAAAAGTTTTTTTAGATTTATTTATTATAAGAATTTCTTTTTCATTTAATTAGTTAAATCTCGAACCATGATTTGTTTCATATTTTTTCCATAATGCTTTTAATATGTGGGTTGCTTCACAATATTCTTATAGATAAGAGTGTCCAGTTTTACAACCTTGTTTACAAACCCATCCCAAAGACTTCCTTGGTTTCTTAAGAGCCATCTCTCCTCTCTGTACTAGTTATTGATCACAACAAATCCAAAAGGCACCACAGCAATTGGAGTTACTTGAAGTTACTACACTGCAAGTCAAGTATGAAATACAAATCTTTCTAGGAACATAATAAACCAGCTTTTTCTATGCTAGCTTATTTGTTGATTGCTGTTCAGTATTTATTAAGGACTGTGAATTAAAACATGACTGCCCTTCAAAAAAATCCCTATAATTTAGTTGAGAGGAGGAAGTACACATAAAACAATAACCAAGTATTTATATTCTCCATTTGAAAACCATATATTATTGGAGATCATACTTTAAAGAGGATAATCTTGAAACAAATTACATTTTCCTATTAGAACATGATGAGTAGTTAGATATGAGGGTAAATCTAAGTAAGAAATCAGAAATAGGAAACGTGGAGTGAGGCAGGTTTTTTTTGTTTTGTTTTGTTTTTAAGGCCCGATTTTTAGGGGTAGTTTTTAAGTTCACAGCAAAATTGAGGGGAGGGTACAAAGATTTCCCATATGCCCTTTACCCCATATATATGAGCGGTATCTTTTCTAAGGTAAAGATGACTATTTTTTTTGGCACACCATGTTTGAGTTAAGAATAGTGCCTTTGATTTCCTTGCTAGGATGCATTTTCTCATAATTTTATTTATACAAAGACAGTGTTTTACTCACTTGTAGTTAATCAGCTCCTTGCTGATTAACCAGTGCCTAATTAGTGCCTAACCAGTGATTAATCAGTGCTGATTATCCAGTGCCTATTACTTGGGGCATTTTTAGTGAATTCCAGCCTCTGTCCCATACACCTGTTCCCTTCCTTACTACTTCTTCCCTTTCATCATTGAGAATTTGGTTGGATTGTTGAATCAGTTAGGATTAGAACCTGCTGCAAGGACTGAAGCACTCCTGAGTAACTGACTTAAATGAGCTAGAAGTTTATTTTTCTTCTGCATAGAAGTCCAAGTAGATGGTCTTGGAGCTTCGTGTTTTCAGGAAGTTAGGATCCATCTGTCTTACTGCTTGCATGTGTGATCTCTCTGTGCTAGCGGGTAGAGTAAGAGAAGGAGGCTTAGCACCAAATCCTGAGTAATTCCAGTGTTTAATCCAACCTATCAGCAGGAAAATGTATGTTGGGCAAGAATATAAAAACACATTGAGGCAAAACCTCTATACAATCTTAAACTAGTAGGACATACTATGTTTGTTTTATTTCTTATCCCCCTGTAAGATTATAACTTTCCTGATAATAGACACTATTTTAATAATCATCTTATATCTTCAGCAGAGTGCCAAGCCCAGTAAGTAGTTGCTTAATAATTATTTGTTGAATAGATTAATGAGTGGAAGGAAAAGTTGAGAAACTATTGCTGTACACATTTGTCTGTGCTTCAGTGGGCATCCCAACATATATGTTGGATGGCAGGCAATCTTAACATACATAAATGGGCTTAAAAGTAGAATAAAACAGAGTTATTTTGAACGTTTTATTTTTTTTCTAGGCTGGGGAGGGAGGTTTTTTTTTGGATTTTAATCAGAGTATTTTCAAATATTTGAGCCCCTAGTTGCATTTAAACTATAAAATTGCCTAATTCAAATAATAAGTGATAAAAATAGACAAAGTTAACCAGGCATTGAACAGTTCATCTGAATTATCTCTCATAATACAACAACCTATTAGACTGGGGTTTTTATACATAAAAAGAAAGTAGACTGAGAAGTTAAGAGACTTTTCAAGGCCACAGAGCTTAATTAATGAATGGTAGAGCTTCTGTTGGGTCTGCATGATTCTAGAACTGAGCTTTTAACCATTATAGTAAACTGAATAGAAAAATGAAATCATTTATTAAAACTACAGAAAATTAGCCCATGAATATGAAAGATCTCAAAAAGGCAGTGAAGAAAAATTATTTTTAGCCAAAAGAACAGTTATGTTTAGGAATCCGGAGGAAAGTTTAGGGCTCCAAAGGGTCCCCTTTCTCTTTTCTCTTCATTACTTTGCCAGTGGGGAAAGAGCCATACATGAATCAATGATTGTGGTTGTTTTCCAATAAAACGTCATAAAAAAGGCAGCAGGCCATGGTTTACTAATCCCTAGGATACTATGTACCAGGTACTATTCTAAATACTTTGTGCTTATTATCCCACTCAAACTTCTTAATCCAAAGAAGTAGGTATTGTATTTTCTCTACATTACATATGAGGAAGCTGAGGCACAAGAACATTAAATACCTCGTCCAGTATTATAAAGCCATTAAGTGGTGCAGCTAAGATGTAAATCCAGACAATCCAACTCTTTTGAACTATAGTATATTGCCTCTTTGCTGTATCATATCCTCTTTTTTTTCTGTCAGTGTCATAAAACAAGATAAATATTTTTTATTAATTTAGGTATCTTGTGGCCTAGCACCTGTACCTTTTAATAGGTAGTTTAAAAGTAAATAAGATTAATTCCTTAATAGGGAAGTTGGTAATTATTCAAATTTTTTTTTAAACACCTGGAATCCTATAAGGAGGAAAAAAAAATCTCTCACAATGAGAATTATGTTTGCTTCTTTTTTTTTTTTAACTTTTTATTTTAATCACCCTGTGTTCATCACAAGTGCACTTCTAATCTGCATCACCTGTTTCACCGCCCCCGTCCGGCCCCCAACCTCCCTGCTGGTAACTATCAGTTCTCTATAGTTAAGAGTCTGTCTTTTGGTTTGTCTTTCTCTTTTTTTTTTTTTCCCTTTGCTCATCTGTTTTGATTCTTAAATTCCACATGTGAGGGAAATCATATGGTATTTTTCTTTCTTTGACTGACTTATTTCACTTAGCATTATACTCTAGCTCCTTCCATGTTGTTGCAAATGGCAAGATTTCATTTTTTGTAGCTAAATAATACTCCATTTTATGAAGAAGAGGTCCTGTAGTGCCCTGTAGTTTAGTGTCACCTGTTCTCCAGGGCTTGGTGCTTCTGGGAGTGTCTCCAATGTATACTACACGCATTCTGCTTTTGTGTCCTGACCACTTTGTCCTTCAGGCCAGTCATCTGCGAAGGTTCTCTTTGCCTGTCATAGGCAGTGTTTTAACTAGGTGGGCTCTGGTCTGCTTGTGAAATGAGACCTGTCACTGCCACTACTAGAACCAAGGCTTGCAAGACTGCTGGGTAGGGAGACATGGTGTGGAAGGGATTTGGGCTAGTTGTCTCGGGGGAGAGGGCCCCCTGTGCTGGGATGGAGGCAAATGTGTCTGGGAAGCAGGGCTTCTCTGGAGCGTGGAGGCCAGCAGGATTTTGTGTGAGCAAGTTAGGTAGTGAGTGTCAGCCCTGTGCTGGTTTCCACAGGTGGCCCTGTGTTTATGCTGAGGGGCAGGGGAGGGAAATGGTGCTGGCCAGTTTCTTTATCCCCAGAGGGGTCTTTCTGTGAACACTGCCTTCGTGGGACATGCTCAGAGATGAGCAGCTAATTTCTGCACCCTGTTCCCCACGCACTCTTCAGATCACTGTTTCTATGCTGTGTGTCCATGGGGTGTTTGCCCTGTCTTTGGTCCAAGAGTGGCCCCGGTGTCCTCTATGTTTAGATGTATATACAATTTCAATAGTGTTTAAATTTATGCTGGTATAAATGTAATTTTTTTCTCATAGTTTGGATTTAGGTGGCGAGTAGAAAAAGAAGTAATTTCAGGAAAAGGTAATTCTTTTTTTAAAGTTTTACTTTTTGGGCGCCTGGGTGGCTCAGTGGGTTAAGCCTCTGTCTTTGACTCAGGTCATGGTCTCAGGGTCCTGGGATTGAGCCCCACATTGGACTCTCTGCTAGGCAGGGAGCCTGCTTCCCCTTCTCTCTCTGCCTGCCTCTCTGCCTACTTGTGATCTCTCTCTCTGTGTCAAATAAATAAAATCTTAAAGTTTTACTTTTTTTTAAGATAAGGTTTTTTGTTATTGAATTGAAGTCATTGAGTAAGATTATTTCTCATGTATACAATAAATGGTTATCTATATAAGTAAAATTAGAGACAGTATATTCATGATTTATGACTAGCAAAGGTCAAAATATAATGCTTTAGTGATGTTTACCTTTAAATTTTTGCTTTTAGAACATTCAATGGAGATTAAGTAGAAAATATTTAAAGAGTTAAAGGAAACTAATAAAGGATGAATACTTGAGTTTTTACTTTTATCAACTTTTGAGATAATGAGTAGGTATTACTGTATTCAGTCTAATCACGTTTTGAATGTAGAGATTAAATATCACTTTGAACTAATAGAATTTTTGAACAGGCTAGTTCTTACTTTGGGATGTCATTGAGATTAACCCTGAATATTTAGTCTTATGGCAAAAGATCAAACATTTGGTAGGCAATCAATAAATGCTTTTTCTGTGCATTGTTGTAATCTACTCATAAATCTCTGAAAAATTAATGTCTCTGTACTGTCTCATGATATAAAAGCTCTTTATTCATAATTGCATTTTAAAGTGTTAATGCTTCTGAAAACTACATAAGAGCATTTAGGAAATAATTTTAAACTAATAACTTAAAGAACTTTTAAACTGAAAATAAAGGTTGTACTTTAAAATGATTAAACATTGATGCCATCATTGTGGATCATTTACATCTTCCATGAATTGGGTATATGAGTGAAGTCTAAAACTCGATCCACAATAAAAAAAAAATTAAGGAGTAGGAATTTTTTTTTTTTTTTTTTTTTAGATGAAGGATCAGCCCTGAAGATACTCTAAAGGAGAAGGAAAAAGAACAAATTTAAAGCTAGTTTTAAGGGTGCCTGGGTAGCTCAGTCATTCAGCGTCTGCCTTCAACTCAGGTCATGATCTCAGGGTCCTGGGATCAAGCCCTGCGTCTGGCTCTCTGCTCAGCAGGAAGCCTCCTTCTCCCTCTCCCACTTCCCCCTGCTTGTATTCCCTCTCTCCCTCTCTCTCTTTCTCTGTCAAATAAATAAGTAAAATCTTTTTAAAAATAAAGCTAGTTTTAACTTTTCTTAGTATGACAGTTTAGTTTGTGTTTTTATCCAAACAATGAAAAATTATGAAATGTCTCACAGTTTTAAAATTTTGTACTTTTATTAAAATGGAATTTTCAGGTGATGGTAAGTAATGCTGCCTTTGAAAAAATTGATGAGCATTCTTTAAGTTCCTATAACTGAAAAAAGAGATAAGTTGGTAAGAGAAAGCTATTGCTCTGATTTAGAATTATTCTTTTGTTGTTGTTGTTACTGAACATGCACAGATTTCATGAACTATTCATTTGGAATGAGTAAAAAAATGCCAATTTAGAAAAGTTATAGGCTGTTTGGACTGATAATTTTCAAAATTCATTTCGATAATTTCTTTTTTATAAAAACTTTAGATTGTTTCTGTTGGTGCAAATTATTGAGATAAAAATTCTTTTTTGTTTGTGCAAATACAAGGTTCATCTGCTGTGAAAGTAAATAGTTGTTGAGTAGTTTATTTTTTTTTTGAGGATATCAGTGTTAGTCCTTTTTTACAGAATGGTTTAATGCAAATACAGTGAACGTGATAATGTGCTGTTGATTTTAGTGTCAGGTAACTCTTAAACTTAGAGCATTGGGTTTGATTACTTAGTCTACTTCATCTCAGAGTGCTTCCATTTTAAAATATGCTTTAAGTGCCATTTTATGCTGGTACTTAAAATAGAAGCCATAATGTTAATACTTAAAATAAGAATTTTAATAAATTTAAAAATTATTATTAAATATTAAAAAGGATTCACCCAGGTGTAAATACGTGTACTATGGAAATGTATTTATTCTTTTAGGGTATTATTGAGTTTATTTTTTTAGTATTTCCATTTTCTAAAGTGTAAGATTTCCTAATCAGGGAGTTGCTGAAACCCTGATCTGTACAGTATATCAATCTCTTGAGCAAGAATTCTGTGATTTATTTTTTTTAATAACCTTTTCTTCACCTCTTTGATCTAATACTTTATATACATTTGTTAAGTATACTATAGTTATTATGCTCAGTTATTTTTTTAATCCTGACTACCTAGAACTAAGAATTTATGTATGTAAAGAGCAAATTTTAGGAGTAATTCCAGATAGTACAGATAAACATTGTCACCAACTGTCATAGCTAATATTCCTTTCTTTATTGCAGGCCAGTTTTTCTGTGGAAATAAATGTTGTGATAAAAAAGATGACTTGAAGAGTTGGGAAGTTAATTTTGGTTATATTGAGCATGGTGAAAAGAGAAATGCACTTGTTAAATTAAGTAAGTTGACTTCAGGTGGAATATAATTGATTTCTTCAAAGTTTATCTAGTAATTTAGATTTAAAAATATATAGACTAATTTAAAATTTAATTGAAAAAATTTAATGTATCTTTCTGGAAGTGCTCTTTTTTCTGAGTTTCCCAAAGTAACAAATAACTTTTGAGACTTCAGTTTTTTTACTCTCAGCATTATGGTGACATTTAGGTGAAAGAGTTCTAATGCCAAATATAAACCTATAATTTGTAAAGTGACGACCTCTTCCTGTTATGGAATATTGGTGAGAATATCATTAGTGCAGAATAAGATGCGGAGTATCAGAAAAGGCAATGTAAAATCTCATGTTACCTGGTAGCCATATTGTTGTGGTGTGGACAATAATTACACTCTTTGTGTCTATAAAGAACAAGTTTTAGGATGGCGTAATTGTTCTTGATGTCAGTCTTAAAAGCTTAGTAAGGTTTATAACCCAGAGTACAGCAGCTTCTCTTGATATGAATGTATTAGAATCTGTTGTTCCTTCTTCCCCCCCCCGCCCCACCATGAATTAAGCTAGTCTTATGTGTCAGCTTCTTCAGGCCATCACGTTAGCAACCTTCTCTGGGTCCTACATAAATGTGCTTCAGAGTTTTCTGCCTACTCCCTATAGGAGTCAAGAATTTCCTCATGTGCTTCTACTTAATGCACACCAATGTGGAAGGTTCCTCCTGGAAGTGTTCATGATAGAAAAGTCAACTGCTGTGAACTGAGATTAAGGCAAAAGAAGAGGCCATAATCGTAGAACCTTTTGAAAAGGTTTTTTCTATTTGAAAACTTTGGAAGCACTTCAGAGGAAGTAACTATAGCCACACTGTTGTTATTAGATATCTTTGATGTGAGACACACATTAACCTATATATGAAACAGAGTTTGCTTTTAGAATAAATTGACGGCACTTTTTTCTAAAGTAATACTAGAATATTTTCAATTCTTCAAGCATTCTGTTACCCTTTTTATTATGCATATGTATTTTTCGAGGTGGAGAGAATCAGATTGCTTTTTTGGATTGTTTTTTCAGATAATCTGTAAAAGGGATATATGGAATAATGAGAATGTATGATATTAAAGGTAGAGTATCAGTATAGTTAATTCAAATTCAGCCTTTCAGTGGTGTCACTTTCTTTTCTTTTTTTTTTTTTTTTTAGGATTATGCCAAGAATGTTCCTTTAAATTAAATTTTCATCACAGGTAGTATTATCCTGTAAAATGCTGTTGTTAATGTTTAGTAGTCTTGGACATAGTCACTTACCTGCACTGAATGTCTAAATGTGGCCTTATGAGGTTGATGGTTTAATTTATTGATTGTATGGAATATCTGGCATTACTGTGTGATACACCAAACACATATCCCAGGGAACTGGAACTTTGCTATGCCTTACTCTAGCCAGCCAGTTTTAAACATGAAGACCTGTGCACTGTGGTAGATAGATGCTAGAATTTTTAGTCTGGAGTCAACGTTCAGAAGCCATAATATTTTTGGAAACTGTATTGTAAAGCAGATCTTCATAAAGTGTTTCTTAATGTCTCATTAATTTTTTTTCTTTAAATTCTTTAAATTTAAATGCAGTTAATTAACATATAATATATTTGTTTCAGGGTACAGTTCTGTTATTCATCAGTCTTATAATAATACCCCAGTGCTAATTACTGCTAATTATCCCCAGTGTCCATCACCCAGTTACCCCACACCCCTCCTCTCTAGCAACCCTTAGTTAGTTTCCCAAGACTAAGAGTCTCTTATGGTTTGTCTCCCTCTTGGCTTTCATCTTGTTTCATTTTTTCCTCTCTTAACCCTATGCTCCTCTGCCTTGTTTCTTAAATTCCACATATGAGTGAGATCATATGATAATTTTCTCTGATTGACTTATTCACTTAGCATAATATCCTCTAGTTCCATCCATGTCATTGCAAATGGCAAGATTTCAATTTTTTGATGGCTGTGTAATATTCCATTTTATATATATATCATATCTTTATCCATTCATCTGTCGATGGATATCTGGGCTCTTCCCATAGTTTCACTATTGTGGACATTGCTGCTGTAAACATTGGGGTACAGGTGGCCCTTCGGATCACTACATTTGTATCTTTGGGGTAAATACCCAGTAGTGCATTTGGTGGGTCATAGGGTAGCTCTGTCTTCAACTTTTTGAGGAACCTCCATACTGTTTTCCAGAGTGGCTGCATCAGCTTGCATTCCCACCAACAGTGTAGGAGGGTTCCCCTTTCTCTGTATCCTCACCAACATCTGTTGTTTAATGACTTGTTAATTTTAGCCATTCTGTCTGGTATGAGGTGGTGTCTCATTGTGCTTTTGATTTGTATTTCCCTGATTCCAAGTGATATTGAGCACTTTTTCATGTGTCTCTTGGCCATTTGGATGTCTTCTTTACAGAAATGTCTGTTCATGTCTTCTGTCCATGTCTTGATTGGATTATTTGTTCTTTGGGTGTTGAGTTTGAGAAGTTCTTTATGGATTTTGAATACTAGCCCTTTATCTGATATGTCATTTGCAAGTATCTTTTCCCATTCTGTCTGGTGTTGTTTGGTTTTGTTGACTGTTTCCTTTGCTGTGCAAAAGCATTTTATCTTGATGAAGTCCCAATAGTTCATTTTTGCTTTTGTTTCCCTTGCCTTTGGAAATGTGTCTAGCAAGAAGTTGCTGTGGCTGAGGTCAAAGAGGTTGCTGGCTGTGTTCTCATCAAGGATTTTGATGGATTCCTGTCTCACATTTAGGTCTTTCATGTATTTTGAGTCTATTTTTGTGTATGGTGTAAGGAAATGGTCCAGTTTCATTCTTCTCCATGTGGTTCCTATTTTCCTAACACCATTTATTGAAGAGACTGTCTTTTTTTTCCACTGGATATTCTTTCCTGCTTTTTTGAAGATTAGTTGGCCGTAGATAGAATTGAGGGTCCATTTTTGGGCTCTCCATTCTGTACCATTGATCTATGTGTCTGTTTTTCTGCCAGTACCATACTGTCCTGATGATCATAGCTATTAATAGAGCTTGAAGTCTGGAGTTGTGATGCCACCAGCTTTGGTTTTCTTTTTCAACATTCCTTTGGCTCTTTGGGGTCTTTTCTGGTTCCATATAAATTTTAGGATTATTTGTTCCAGTTCTGTGAAAAAAGTTGATGGTATTTTGATAGAGATTGCATTGAATGTGTAGATTGCTCTAGGTAGCATAGACATTTTCACAATATTTATTCTTCCAGTCCATGAGCATGGAACACTTTTCCATTTCTTTGTGCCTTCCTTAACTTCTTTCATGAGTACTTTATAGTTTTCTGAGTACATATTCTTTGCCTCTTTGACTAGATTTATTCCTAAGTATCTCATGGGGTTGGGTGCAATTATAAATGGGGTTAACTCCTTAATTTCTCTTTCCTCTTTCTTGCTGTTGGTATATAGAAATTCAACTGATTTCTGCGCATTGATTTTATATCCTGCCACTTTACTGAATTCCTGTATGAGTTCTAGCAATTTTGGGGTGGGATCTTTTGGGTTTTCCATATAGAGTATCACTTATATCTCATTTAAACCGTGTTTTCTTTGGAGCTTGTCATTCTTACAAAGTATTATATACCTTTATTCTCATTTCAGATGTTAAAATCAGGCCCTTGTCAAGTGCTAGGATATGTCTTTCATGTTGGATGGGGGAGGAATTTCAATGTTCTGCAATATGCACTATATATAAATAAGATCATGGGCTTTGAAACAAGACCCTGTGTATTCCTCTCAGCTTCTCCACTCATTAGTTGTCTTCTTTGGGCAAGGTACTTAACCTCTGTGAGAGTCAATTTTATCACCTCTAAAATTGAGGATGTCGAGGTTATCATGGGGATTAATGAAAGTGCATGTAAAGTGCTTGATGTAGTGCCTGGCATATGGGAAGTTAAGCATAATGGGGTCTCTGGCATTGAAGATGTTCAGACAAAATCCGTGACCTGCCGTTGTTGTGATGGTCTGGTTTCAAGGCCTGAATAACAGTTGAAAGTCTAACAGTGAGATTCTGCAACTTTATAAAATGTATATGTCAGTATATTAATTTTAAAATCAGCTATATTATAAATGTGCTTTATCTAGTATTTTAGTTATTAAAAATAAATATTAAGTAATGAAAAATTTTTTAATTCTTAAAATAAGCAGAATTTTAAAGATTACTTGAATAGCCTAACTTTCATTTCCCATCTCCATCAGTGATCCTGAAAGGTACCAAAAGATTTTTTTTGACCTTGACTTTTGAGCTCTACTTCAAAATTGAATTGATTCTTATGAGAGGCAGAAAGCGGTTACTGCCTTAAATAGTCTTACAACATTTGTTATAAGTACCTTAAGTTAGAAGATCTGATGAGGAAGTTTCTTGAAACTCAGGCTCTTTGTTTTCTCTTCATTCTCCTTCATGGTCCTAGTTTCAGCATTATCACTTTTTCCTATCTAGTATTTCCTTTCTTAACCAGTTAAAATCAATTGTTTGCCAGCCATGGTACTGGCAGTCTTATAAACCTGGCCCAAAAGAGATAAAGCTACAGCAGTAAAAGGACAAATGGTCTAAAGTAGACATTTAAGTAAGCCCCTCTATCTCCATTCCTTCATGCCTTTACTGTATTCTTTTATTCTTAACAGAAGTGGTGGTTTAGAGCTGTTACAGCATTTCTTCTTATTTTCAAAGTATGGTTTTTTTCAAAGTATAGGTAGCTATGAATTTAAATGGAGAGAAATGATGTTTGTTTTTGTAATTTTAAAAAAAGTGGCTAAATGACAGAAAATAAAAAGGAGGAAATGAGTAAAACTATGATTTATATTTACTAAGGTTTGTGTATGGAACTTAAAAAGATGATTTCTCTCAGTTTTAGGCTTCATTATCTTACAGAATTGTCTTTAATTAATATACTCACATAAGATATTTACAGACTTATTTAAGGCTTCCTTATGTTAATTGCATTGTAAAAATAAGTTACTTTAACTGATTTGACTTTTGCTCATTGGTTCTTATTTTTCATAAAGGTCAGTTAAAAAAGTTAACTTTAATTTTATATTGTTTAACATAAAGGAGAAAAGAAGTCAAGTCAAAAAAAAGAAGGGATAAAACCAAAGAAGATTGTGAAGAGTCATCACGTAAAAAATCCAGATTATCTTCTGCAGAAGAGACCTCTAAGAAAAAGGAAAAAGGTACGAGGGAATTAAAATACATCTATTCACATTTTTTAACATACAGTGTAATCTGCTATATGTGTCAAATGTAGAATTTAATTGGTGAGTACATTTAGCTTTCTATTTTATACTAGTTGAAAGGGAGATGCCTGGGTGGCTCAGTTGGTTAAGCATACAACTTTTGATTTTGGCTCAGGTCATGGTCTTGGGGTTGTGAGATTGAGCCCTAAGCCAGGCTCTGTGCTGGGCGTGGAGCCTGCTTAAGATTTTCTCTCTCCATCTCCCTCTGCCCCCCACCTCCTGCTTGCTTTTTCTCTCCTCTCTCTCTCAAATAAAAAAATAAATAAACCTTATAAGAGTTGAAACTGGTTGGGGAATTTATAAGATTTTTTTTTTTAAGAGAAGGGGGCAGGGGCAGAGGAGAGAGAGAGAATCTTGAGCAGGCTCTGGAGCCCAGCACAGAGCCTGACTCTGGGCTTGATCTCAGGATCCCAGGATCCTGACCTGAGCCAAAATCAAGAGTTGGATGTTTAAAAGACTGAGTCACCCAGGTGCCCCCTGATTGGGGAATTTAGATATGAATTTATAGCAACTCAAGAGTTTCAAGAACAATATTGATTTTAATGCATTTTGGGCAGATGGTAATAATATTGTAAATAACACTCATTACCTTGAGCAAGTCCCTGAACTTCTTCAGTTTTACATCCCTCATATAAATAGGGGGATGTGAATATCTGGCTTCTGTACTGTTTGAGCTTATTGTGGAGAACCAAATAAGAATGTGAAAAGCATTTTGAACACTGTTAAACAGTACATAATCTATAAGTCAGTGTAAACTTAGAAGAGTGGGATTTAATTACCATGACCTATGTGATTTTCTCACTAGCTTATGAGCTTCTTGAAATCATGGAGCTTGGTATATATATGTCCTCAGAACCCATCGTGGTCCTGTGCACATACACTTAGTAAATAATTGTTAAATTCAGATCCATCAGTCAGTTACTTACTTCTTCCTCAGTAGTGCTGAAACTTTAAGCTGTAATCTCTTCATGTGTAAAATGGTTAAGCTAGTAGTTCCTAGCTCATAGGATTGTTCAGAAGGTGAAAGGAGATAATAGATAGAAACAGTTTGCATGGTGCTTGGTGCATAGTTAGCTATTATGAAGGTTATTGCTAGTTTCTTTTTCAGTCCGTAATAGAGTCAAATTAGCTATAACTTCAAGTGAATTGAATTTATGTCGATAATGATAGATTACATTAGAGTCAGCCACATGTTAACACAGTACTTGGACAGGAGAGGGCTCCCTTGCTCCAGCTGTGAAGATTATTAGCTAGGTTTCATTCTTACATGTACTTTTTTCTGGTGAATCATAATATATTCAAGCATATAGTATCAACAAGTTTTCAACTTGGTGAAACTGATAGATGGTGAGAGGAAAATATTATTCTTGTTTATAATGGTATTTGAGAAATGATATTTGAAGTAGAATATTTTATTGTGTCTAAATCATTTCCCAACTCCAAAATAAATGTTAATTAATAAATGTGAAAATTCCATTTGAGTTTGAAAAATTTTTGTTTTAAAAATGTTTGATGTATCATACTTGAGAGTTTTGTTGTATTCATTATTATATTATGTAATATTGTCTAAATCATAGTATGGTACCATATTAATCATTATATATTCCAAATTAAAGAATAATTCCTACCTTGGAAAGGCTTGTTTAGCACCTTCAAAGCAGACAGGTAGCTGGATATTCAAGATCTGGTATGGGGTTGGAACCCTCAGATTATGCATACATACGCATGTGATCTTCCTTATAGATGTTTTCCCTGTGAACACTACAATAGATGACACCTCTGTCAAGCTAAGAACTAATCAGATATCTGGAAATTATCCTTGATGTCTTCTTATTTCTCATTATTTATGTTTAATTTGTCACCAAATCATGTCAGTTTTACCCTCAGAGTATATATTTCTCGAGTGCTCTCCACCCTCATTCAAACCACCATGTTTTCTCATGTTTCTCATGTTTTCTAGACTACTGCTCTGTTCTCCTTACTAGTTCTGCCACTGTCTTGTCATTGCACCTACCCTCCCCTTAATGCACTTTCAATAAAGGAGTGATTGCCTGTTGTTCTTAGGATATTACTGAAATCTGCACAAAGCCCAGGTGCTCTATGCGATCCTTCATACAACACTTGTTTCTGACTATGCTCCACTTCACTTTCATACTCCATGCTCACAGCTTTTCAGTTTCTAGAAAATGTCAAACTTCTTCCCATTTAGGTACTATGTAGATGCTACTTCCTCTCTTTCTAACCTCCTCTCCCCACTGCCAGTTCCCATCGTAACTCATCCTCCAGGTCTAAGTTTAAATATTTCTGATCCTTTCTTGATTCCATCCCTGACCATGAATTTAAAAATTAGTAATTCTAATTTAGTATTCCCAGCACCCCACTAGCACATGTAAGGTATAAGCACTAAAAAATGAAGAAATGAAAGACTTTGAAAATTGTTTCAGGACTTCAGGGATAGAGACAAAGCATATTTGTATCTGGGATCATCTGGAACTAACTTGATTTTGATGTGATTCCTTATAGCCAGGCCACCTTAATTTGTCCCAAACTTGAATAATAATTATTAATAAATACTTAATTTTTATCTGCATTTGAACTGTTGACAGTACTTCTCAAAACAATCTACTTTCTTGATTTTCTTCCTATTTCTCTGGCCTTTCCTCTGCCTGTTGGTTATAGGTGTTCCTCAGTCTTACCCTTAAATGTTGGAATTGCCCAAGGCTCTTACTGAACTTCTCTTCATTCTCTATCTTCTCCCTATATGATCCCACCTACTCCTATGGTGTCAGTTTACAAACAAACAAAAAGTAAGTGGGTGGATGGATGAATGATTGGATAGCTAAATGGCCGAATGAATGGATAGAGAGAAAATGTAAGAAAGACCAATAGCTTGACTTTGAGGACCAGTCTGCTTTCGCAGGTCTGAGCACAACAAGGTACTTTGGTAGAGCGTCTTGGCAGAAAGTTGAAGATCTTATCCCTCCCACCACTGCCACAGCATCCCCAAGCTCGCTTCCTTGGGAAGACCTTTCCTGACAGCCTTCACCCACTTTCTCCAGGCAAAGTTAGGTCCCTATTACATATTCCAGTAGCACTCTGCACTTCTCCTTTAGAGATACATATCAATCACCCTTGGAAAAGTTTGTTTATTTTCTATTAAGGAAGGGACTGTGTGATTTAATTAATTCTTTATCTCCAGTTTCTAAGCACCATGCTTTCTTCACATAGTAGGCATTCGATAGATGTTTAGATGAGTGAGTGAATCAGTGAAACAGTGGTTTCTCAACATTGAAAGGAACATCAGAGACCCATCCTAGGATCATGACTAAAAAGATATTCTGTGACTTTGCTTTTCAAAGTATAGTCTGCTGGCATTCTCATCACTTGGGAATATGTTAGAAATATACAATCTCAGACCCTTCCCCAACTGTACTGTAAGTCAGGATGATTCATACGCATCGTAAAGTTTGAGATGTACTGCTCTATATTAGGTACTTGTTCTGCTTTTGCTTCAACACCTCCAGGGAAGAGGACCTTACTACCATCCAAAATATTCTTTTACTTTTCAGTTAGTTGTAATTGCTAGCAGGTGTCTTAAACTAATCTAGCCCCAATCTACAATTTCTTCCCTTTGGTTCCAGTTATGTCCTTAGGCCTCCAAAGTAAGCCTAACCCGTTTTTTACCTGTAGACATTTGTAACGGGTATCATGTTCCTCAGATGACAGGAAAAAATTTGTCACATCGTAGCTATATTTTTATTTGCTTTCTGATGAGTAGGAAATCGGAGGGAAGAAACAACAAGCCAGAAACAAAGCAAAAAAGAAATTATAATCCAAAGCTGCAGTCCAGGCCTTGGCTACCTGTGGAGTCTTGACCCTGTGGTTCTGACACCCTCTTCACTGGGCCTGAAAGGGGCCATGTAGGTATCAGCTTTGGTTTATGAGACCTCCTATCCAAGGAGAGGAATTGTTACTCTCCATCTGTTAGCTGTAATTTTTTTTCAATTTATCAGTCTTGGAAATTATTTCCCTTGTAGTCTTATTACGGGAGACTCTGTAGAGTGATGATTTTTTTTAAAATTACGTTAGTAGATTTTTAGTACTTTTTTCTTTCTGTTTCTCTGGATAACTTGTAGAACTGAAACTTTGTTTTATGAAGTAATATTTTGTGTGAATTTTAGTTACTAAGAATTCTCATCTGTATTTGAAAAAGTATTGTGAAAAATGAGTATTTATTTATAAACTGCTTTCTGATGTTGAACAGCTATAGATAAAATATGGTTATATTGCAGCTATTCTATGAGTTTTTTTTAAAGCAACCTGAGATTTTTTTTCTTTTTTTTACGGGTGTTCATATTTTTTAAGCTTTGTGCTTTGTATTCTAGGCATAAAATAACCTCTGCCTTGAAGAACCTAACATTTTAACTAGAGAGATAAGTCTGAGGAACATGAAAGATTAGAAGACAGTGAGGTGTTTTTCTGTAAGACTATTAAGTAAACTAGAAACTTAGGAAGTCTTAGGAAGAATTCTGGTTACAGCTAGAACTGTTACACGATTGCAAAATGATTTTTAACAAAACAATGCTGTTTTCTTTTCAGGGCATTCATCCTCAAAGAAATCAGAAAATTCTGTAAACAGTAAGTATCTAGTATTTCTTTAATAAAAATGCATAGATTAAAGTTATTCACAGTTTGGGTTTCCCGTCAATTGTGACTTGCTCTGATATATCATTTTTTGATTTTGTACCATGTAGAAAAAATCATAGAAAAAAATAGCAAAAGTGTATGATTTCTTCCCCAATTTTGAACATTTTAAACTTTCTTATTTTAAAATAGAAGAGCATAAAATTTTCTTCAGTTAAATACAATGGATACACAGTTTAATTTCACTTCTTAGAATATGAAGGAACAAAAGTAAAAGGATGAGGTTGGAATGGAAAAAGAATTGGGGAAGTGGATTAAGATTTAAGAAATGTTTCTTGTATTGTATATTGAGTAATCTCTGTTATTTGGTGATTTTGACTGATCAAATGAAATATGTGGTTTATATATGGAAAGTAAGATGTTGGCAACTGGTTACTAGTGGTTAGTTTTTTAATAAGTACTGTGGTTTTCACCAGATTATATCAAGTCAGTTTAGGTTTTATTGAATATTTGCCATAGATTTTATTATTTTTTTCCTGCAACATTCCAAAAAACATTCAAGTGACTTATAGATACAATAAAATAAGGTTTATAAAAGTAAAATCAGGATAATGGAAAAATAAGATAGAAGAGCAAAGTAAAGTTTGAAGTAAAATTAACACAGACAGACGTTTACTAAAAAGTCCTGCGTAATTACAAAGGTAGATCACACATTTGTCACTGTTCTTATAAACAACCAAACCAAGGGAAACCGCCGGCAGAAATTTTAATTGAACCCATAAGATCATATGCAGGTTATTCATCTCTTTTCCAGGCGGAGTTCTGAGAGCAGACTCTCCTGTGTATTCATAAAAGGGACATCCACCTGTGATATAACAAACAGTAGCCTTGCATCTCAATAGTAACACAGTGTCAGATTTCTTAAAGACCTTTCTGTAGGGTTAGGGCTAACAATGAGGTGTGACTCAGTAGCCTAATTCATTTTATAATATCTGGACTTATTTTATGACATTTCTAGGCTTAGAAATTTGTAAACTTAAAAATTAATATTTTTACCGATATAAAGTAATATATATTTACTCTGGCAAACTCAAGGAAAAAAAAATTAGTAATTACTCCAAATCCCACCATTCAAAGAGAAACATTATTAGCATTTTCTTTTACTTTTTTTTTTTTTTAAGATTTTATTTATTTGACAGAGATCACAAGCAGGCAGAGAGGCAGGCAGAGAGAGAGGAAGGGAAGCAGGGCTTGATCCCAGGACTCCAGGATCATGACCTGAGCCAAAGGCAGAGGCTTTAACACACTGAGCCAGGCGCCCCAGTTAGCATTTTAATATAATTCTTAAGGAGAATTTTTAAGGGGTCAGTAATCCGAAATTTTGCACTATGAAAAAATAGAAAAAGAAAAGTTTTAAAATATTTTTGTTTAAAGATTTAATAGAGAGGGAGTTGTCAGTGGAGGCATTCCTCTAGTTTAGGAATACAACATATTCCTTATGAATTATTTTGCTCATATCAGTTTTATTTTCAGCATATTTGAAGTGTCCTAAGCACTGATACTTTGTTTCTTCCCTTGTGAATCCTAATTGATGTATAGCTCTTTTTCCTAAATTAGGTGAAGTGTAGTGACAGTTTCTAGGATATAGCTGGGCATGAGACCAATAGACTCAGGCTATCTGGGCTGAAGTAGTATATATATACTATCTTTCATTTGTACCTAGATAATGTTCAGTTACCCTTTTACCACCATTTAACATTGGATTACTAAAAACAAATCTATGAAGAAAAACCCAGTTTCTGTGAGGAAAAAGAATTTTAACTTGGATTTGTTGATTATCTACTCTATCAGCCAAAGTGGCAATGATTTACTTGTATTACCTCATTTAATCTTAATGATGGGAATATAATATCCCATTTTGCAGAACAGGAGAACCAAGACCAAGAGAATTTACATAAATTACCAAAGTTCTATTAGTTGGTTAATAGCAGAGCTGGGATGAAACACAGATTTATAACTCCACAATGTCTGTGCCCCTTTACCTATATCATCAATAACTGTTCAGTGAGTCAAATGTAAGTACACTCTTCAAACCCCAGTTTTGGCAGATACATTGTATAAATCTACATTAAATGATTTGATCTTTCTGCGTCTCAGCTCTATATGTAAAATAGGTATAAAGAGACTTAACTTTGTATTATTGTCAGAGCCAAATGAGACAATATATATGTAAAGCATGTGTCCAACACAAAGTAAGTTCTTGTTAACCTGTAGCTATTATTATTGTTATAGAAAGGGGAAAAAAAAACAGCCATTAAACAGATTCTGTGTTTTGTTCTCTAGAATTGGTCAGATCAAAAATTAAGTTTAAGTTTAACCTGTCCATTTGTTACCATAATTGGAGACTTGCCACTTCTTCAGTAAGCCCAAGTTATTTAGGCATCCTATAATATCTAGAAAAACCAAGATGACATATCTGCTTTCATTATTCAAATGTATGGGGAAAATTATACACAGTTTGCATTTTAGAATTTGCATTATAAAAGGAACACTGAAAACTTAAAAGCAGATTAAGAATGGAATAACCAAGGCATTGACAGACAGAACTTGAAATTGTGTCATAGGAAGAAGGTTGAAGGAAATATAGATGTTTAGTTTGAAAAAAAGTGAAGGGATAAGAGGGAAGGGGTAAGGAGGTAGACATGGAAACTGTAGATGTTTGTACGACTGCTTTTGTGTAGGAGACTTATTTTTGATGACTATTTGGCAGAATGAGAGTCTCTGGATAAAAATTGCCCAGGGACAGATTTTTGCCTCATTTTTAAGGAAAAACTTGTCAATTAGAACTATCTGAAGAAAGGAACAGAGGACTCGGCTACTTCATGAAGTAGTGAAGTGTTAAGCGTAGATTGGACAGCAACTTGTCAAGGGAGATGTTGCAGTATGAGATTGAATCATTGGATAAGGGCTAGATCAAAGACCTGCAAGATCCCACAGAGAGTCAGTGTTGTACATTCTGATCCGTAGTTGCTAGTAACGGCTGTGTAGTTTTGACACTGATACCAGAGCTCGCATTTGTATTGCTTATTCTTCTCACTGTGTTTTCCTTAGCAGTGTCCCTACCATCTCAGGCCCGTCGTGGCAGTTACCATAGGAATGGTTTCTAGTTACTGCTGTTCTCAGGGAACTAGAATGGTACAGATTCAGAGTTGAACTTAAAGGTCATGTAGTCCAGTCTTCTAGATTTGATTCTCTAACAATATTTGGCTGCTTTTTAAGCATGTGATCTTTGAAAGAAGGTTACTTTATAATATTCTAAACTGATTCGACCTTTTAGTAAAACTCACTTGTCTAGTATCAGAAAACTGGTATAGGAAAGCTGGCATGTGGGAAGTACTCTTGAAAGGGAAGAGAGGGCAGGTGTTTGTAAGGTCTTTTAAAATTAGCTGCCCACTTTCAAAGATCTTGTAAGTTTTGTTCTTTGACATCATTAAGAGGGTAACACCATAATGTTAACTATCAGGCCTAATTAGTTTTTTCCGTGGTTTCTTGATCTCATGTTAGTGAGTTTTCATAAAAGCAAGAGTAGAATGCTTTTATTTTCTCTTCTCACACATTCAGTTTGAGACACTGGCAGTTTCCGTGCTCGTTGTCATTGAGTGGGAATCTGGTTCCCCAAGGCTTTATAATTTTATCATCTTTTATTGTCTTTATATGTAGATCGTTACAAATACAACCCCTGGGGCGCCTGGGTGGCTCACTCGGTTGTGTCAACTCTTGATTTCAGTGCAGGTCATGATCTCAGGGTTGTGAGATCAAGCCCCATGTCAGGCTCTGCACTGGGCATGGAGCCTGTTTAAGTTTCTCCCCCTTTCCTTCTGCCCGCCCCCACCCAAATATAACCCTTCTCTTTTTTTTTTTCCCCTGCCATTTTTGTTATAATTTGTGCCAGAATAGACACAGTTAGGACCAAAGTTCAGACATGCATATTGATTAAAGGTTCAAAGTCTAACAGGTAAAAGGCTAAAAGCACTGTGGGCAATCAATGCTGTTTTATTTTTGCATGTGTTTAACTAAGGGACATTCTGTATTGATAGGCTGAATTTGTTTCACTTCTTTTTGAGACTAACTTATTAGGAACTATTTGCTAATATAATTACTTTATGGCATATACTTTTATTGCCTTATATTTTTCAGTATTTGATAATTTTTAGTTCACTAATAATAGGGTGATTTTTGAAACATGTTGATTTTGTTATATTTTAAAAATAGAAATTTCTTTTATTGTTTTGACTGATTTTTAAAAGCAATACTTCATCATTGTTTAAAATACAAAAAATTTGGAAATGTTTTACATAGAAAGTGAAAGTATCCCAGGCCACAGGTGATATAATTACTGTTAAGTTTTGTTTGTCCTTACAAACTTACAGTATATATACACATATGTAATCATAAATGAGATTATACCATGCATACTTTCTGTAATTTTAAAAATTTTGAAACAGCACGACATTTTTCCATGGTAATACTATAGATATGCTAAGGTTTTTTTAATAGCTATATTATATTAATTTAACCAATCCTTGATCCCTAATTGGTAGGGATATAGGTTTTCTTTTATTGTTGTTGTTGTTATGTAATGAACATCTTTGTACATGTATCTCAGGTGCTTATTTATTCTAAGTAAATAATTAAATTCTTAAAAGCAGCATTGCTGGTCAAAGGTTATGTAAATTTTAAACTGATCTGTATTGCTAGATTTTCCTCAAGAATGAAGTTCACAGAATTTTTACTCCTAACAAGTATGAATATGTCTGTTTCTTTATTGAAACCAGCTTCTTCTAATTAATTTAATCAGCATCAGATTTTTGAAAGCATCTGACAATATTTATTCATAATTTAACTAACTAGTTCTATGTACTAGTTCAGTTCTTGAATTCTTGATCCTAATGTAAATATACTCTACCTTAACCTACATGTCTTTTATATGCCAACAGAAAGAAAAAACTAAATCAAAGGCAATTATATTGCAAGAGATCATTCCTTTATGAGTTAGTACTGGAATTACCACAGTGAAAGTGGAAGTGCCACTTTCAGTAGAAGTTCCACTGAAGTTCCCTCAGTGTAACTTAGGGAACTTTCCCATGAGACTTTCCTTGGTTTTTTTGCTGAGACTCTTTGGTATAGCTCAGCTTATTTATTTATTTTTAAGAAGAATTTATTGGTCTGAAAGAGTGAATTACATTTTCAGAGCCATAAAAGTGAAACTAAACTGAAGTTAATTTAATTGCATTGGTGGGTAATTCAAAATATGTTTTAAATATAACACATTTAAAAAAAATCTCTTTTAAATGAATAGGAAATTCTGATGAAGAGGAAGGTACTTCAGAATCTGAACTTTGGAAGGGCCCCCTACCAGAAACGGATGAAAAATCACAGTGAGTCCTGATATTACTAGATAATGCATACCTTTTGCATCAGTAAGGAAGCTACAACCACAGCCATTCTTGATAACAATTAATGAAAAAGCTCTTCATCAAGAATGTCTGTTTAATGCCAAGGACTACCTAGCCTGGTAAGATCAGAGTTTATTCCTAGTCATTGTTTGTGGCCACAAACTGCTAACTCAATCCAGCTTCCTCTCAGTGAGTAAATCCTACTTCAGCTTTCCTTGCCAAATGACCATCCGGTCTTTACTTAGGATCCTTTAGAGAAGGGCTGTTCCCTAGTTCCACAGCCTATTCTTGATATTCTGATTACCATAAATGTGTACAGGGAGCCCCTTGAAGCTGTCTGTGTATGGGTAAAAGTTTACTTGCCAACAACCACCTTAGCCTCCCGAAGACAGGATAACTCAGTGTGTACATTGTTATCTGTCTTGAGTTGGAAGAGCCATCTGGATGTGGGCCGGAATTTTATCACTCTTGTCATATACTGGGATGTTCAGCACTTGAGCTTTATCTGTAACAAGGCGATAAAATAATACCTACTGCAGAGTTTATTGTGAAGAGTTAATGAAATAAAAATTTGTAAAGCACTTGGTACAATACCTATAATTATAAGTGCTCAATAAATTTTAGTCTCATTTTGTTAGTCTTTAGGCATATTGGCTCAAAATGGAAAGATACCTGTGGAATCAATCATAATTCACTAATTTAAGCTACTTATGAAACATCTTGCTAATTATATGTTCTCAGTGTAGTAGAATTCAGGTGTTTTAGAAAGAGGCTTTTTATTTTTTATTTTATTTTATTTTTTAAAGATTTTATTTATTTATTTGACAGATCACAAGTAGGCAGAGAGGCAGGCAGAGAGAGAGAGGAGGAACCAGGCTCCCTGCCGAGCAGAGAGCCCGATGTGGGGCTCGATCCCAAGTCCCTGGGATCATGACCTGAGCCGAAGGCAGAGGCTTTAACCCACTGAGCCACCCAGGCATCCCCAGAAAGAGGCTTTTTAAACAAGAGCACTTTTTTTCTGTGAACTTAACTTTTTTTTTTCTAGCCAAGTAAAGAATTCCTAAATGTATGGTCAATATAGATCAGATTATAAGAAAGCTGTTACTGTAAATAAAATACTGCTATCCTAGTTAAACTATGGACTAAACTTCTAATGGTATAACTTCCCATGAAGAGCTTTATAGCTGAAATTGACAGATTGGCTCACCTTTTAAGGCAGTAAAGATACTTGAGTAAATCCTAAGAAGACTGTCATCATCCAGAACTTTTTGTGACCTTATAAGTACTTGACAGTGATCAAGTACTGAGCACCTAAGCCTACACAGAGATTCAGTTAATTTCCTATATTTAAATTCTTCCTACAGTTTAAAAAATTTAACTGTATATTGCTGGCATGTGGGAGGAAAAGTATGGGGGATATCAAATTACAGATAATTCTTAAATCAACTTTATCTGATTCTGTAGTAATTTTTAAAAAATTTGAACATGGGTATAATGGCTTTATGTATTCACAGTTATTTAAAACCAAATAATGGAGTCCCATTGTGAATCCCTGATCTACAAGAACTTTTTCTGAAGAGACTGGTAGACTGGATTTTACTTTCCAGCTTGATTCCCTTGTCCCAGAAGGGAGAAAGGCAAATGTGTGTGTGTGTGTGTATAATCATTTAATCCTCACAGCACCTCTGTGAGGAAATAAAATGTTCTCCTTTGTACAAACATGGAGACTGAGCCCAGAGAAGTTAAGTAACCTGCTAATATAAGCTAATAAGTGACAGAGCTAGAACTTAAACATTGTCTGACTTGAAATCCTGTGGTATTTTTCTGTATCACTCTGGTTCCAAGTGCTAATATTTATTTAGTACTTGATAGTTTTCATTTTATTTTACCATATTATAATACAATTTAATATGTCCTTTCAGATTTTGATTCATTGTTTTACACATGATATTTACTGCTACGAATATATATTTACTATTCCCATAGCAATAAAGACCTACAGCCTAAGCAGATTTTCCCCATTCCTGGGAGTAAGACTTGTATTTTTCCTGAAAATAGTTTTCTTTTTCATTCATTTCTTGGTCAGACTATAATTTGAAATGAGAAAGAACAGAGAATTCTGTCAACCAAAAAAGTAAAGAGAAGTAGTAACGTTTCATAACAGTTATGAAGCACGACTCTTCACAAATAAAGTAACATTTTACTTTAAAGTAAAATCTTAGGTAATAAATACATTTAGGGTGTGGGGGCAACATACAAAACATTTCACATTTAATCAATCTGGGTATACTTATGATTATTCCAAAAGCTGAGGATTATTTGATGGCTGAATCATGAAATATATCAATGTATAGAAAAATCAGCAAATGAGTTAAAATACTTTATTTTCATTAATCACCTATAATGTGTCACCTAGTAATTTTTTTCTGTAATTGTTGATCTTAATCAATACATATACTTTTTCCTTTAAATAGAGAAGAAGAATTTGATGACTATTTCCAAGATTTATTTCTGTGAGATGGAAGAGAGAAGCCCACATTCCTTACTGTGAAAGTACACTTTGAAACTCTTCACAAAAATTTTATCTACAAGTTGCAGCTTGAGTGGTTTATCTTCAGAAATAAAAATCCAACTACTCTCAAGATGTCAGCTGCTTTGGAAGTTTTTCAGTTCTATTGGAGACATGTTTCCTCATCCCTTATATATCTTTTTAGATGCTTATTTACAGCCACTCCATCTGTAGCTGCTAGAGGATAAAGCTAGTACACTGTATGGAGAGTTCATTGTTCCTGTATTTTGTAGGGGTTTTTGTTGTTGTTTTTATTTATTCATATTTATCTTCCCTTGCCTGAATTAATTTAAATTATTAGAATTATTGGTGTCTCACAAAAATTATAAAATAGAGTAAATATGTCTTCACCTTCTTTCCTTTGATACACGGGTACCCCTCCTTTTAAGCACCTACTTTCCCATTACCACCTGGTTCTAGCTGTCTCTTTTTTTCTTACTTTTCTCTTGCTTCCTTCTCACCTATACTACTTATGGGAGCTTGTTATTATCAGATTTGACTTCCCAGTGTGTGAGTAGTTTATTATAAAGTAAATTAATACTATGAGGCAGCAGGAACAGCAAATGAGGTCACAGAAGTCTACAACAGTAGATTAGGTTCACAAAAGTTGACTCTCCAACAGAGAGATTCTATAATAAGATAATTTAACTAATAATAGTATATGCTGGAGCTTATCTCAGATGTAGTCACACAAATACGGATATACTTATATGCCAGGATATAGTATAAAATGGAACTTCTTAATTTGCTGATCATCCCCCTTAGAGTCGATGAATGTGCTTTAGGAGATCTAAGCACTCCTAGAATCTGAGTGTAAACTTCTGTGATTATGTGTATTTATGGGGGGAAAAGGTCCATAGTTTTCATCAAATTTTCAAATGTATTGATTTTTTAAAAAAAGGTTTTAACCCATTTTTGTAAAGTGCAACGAGATGGATAGGAAGATGCATGATTTAGTGAAGAGAGGACCTGTAGAAAGCAATCACAGCATTTCAATTATTTTGTTAATATAAGTATTTTAAATGACATTTAGACATGGAATGATTGGCATTAAATTGCAGAATAAGTAGTTTAGTGTCTTATTTTTAAGTGGTTAGTAACTGATTTTCCTTTTATTCAATAGTTGTTATTCATTAATTCAAATATTTATCAGGCTTCTGTTATATGTGAGGCACTATGCTAGATGTTGCTACAAAGGAACTATCTAGGAAATAATTACACAGTGATTTCTAAGCCATCAAAAACAGTAAATCAGTATTGGTTTGTTAATGTTGAACATTGTTTTTAAATCCCCTTATTAAAGAAATTGTATTTTTTTTTAATCTCACTACTTACAGTGAATAAAAAGGAATCTTGGTTTCTAAGGAGAAAGTGTTGAAATGTCTGACAGCAAACTGATATTAGTATATATGTAGCTAAAATATGTTTATGATTAAAAAAAATTCATAGTTTAGTGATCATCAGAAAATAAAATTCCTATAAATGATAAGTAGGAAAACTAGACTCTCAAAATAAGTTCATGTATTTGGTGTTAGAAGTATGGTTTATAGACATCAGGTTCATTAGTAAATTTTAGATCATTATATATAATCACAACACTTAATCCATTCATACATAATCGAAGTCATATATTTGTTTTGTTTTGTATTTTTCTTGAAGTTATATTTTTAAGGAGCTTTTGAAAAGGCCACAAGATGATGAGTTTAAAGATTAATTCTCCGACAGACCTCTCTCATATTTGGCTATAGTGCAGTCAGTAGTGTTCAGTGGACCACTGTTTGGGATATGAAGTTAATGCCTTCTTCTACTTGCTCTTTAGCAAAGTTCCTATTTTTGCAGACCTTCAATGGCAATACATCTCTGCTCCTCAACTTGCTTTCTAGTGAATGAGGAGGGGATGTTGTTTGAGCTGATAATTTGGGGTCCAAAATTACATAAAACTAAAGAAAGAGTTCCTTTTTTTTTTTTTTTTAAGATTTTATTTATGTATTAGAACATGAGCAGGGGGAGGGACAGAGGGAGAAACAGACTCCCCTGCAGGCAGGGCTAAGTTGGGGCTTTCTGAGATGATGACTTGAACTGAAGGCAGATACTTAACCGACTGAGCCAGCCAGGTGCCCCTAAAGGAAGAGTTTCTTAGGCAGTTTCTAAAATAATCCTAAAAGTAGAGTTTCAAAATTATTTTAAGTAATGAAAGTAAGGTGTACATGTTATCACTTACTCAAGGTGATGACTTATTATTGTCTATACAACACTCATGCAGTGTATATAATAAATGAGTTTTTTCCCCCCCTAAAGATACTTTATTAACTTACAGGCACTCTTCATTTATACCTGTTTGTTATGACATTTATTCAAAATATCATTCATTTGTATTCACTGAGAACCTACCTTGTACCAGGCACTACTCTCTCTCTAGGTAACAGGATAGAGTTAGGAACAAAACAGAAGAAAGTAGACAAAAATCTTTCCTCTCATAGACCTTACATTCTAATGTGAAAGTAGCAATCCTATGATTCTAAATCTTATAATTTTTACTTGTAAACGTACAACAAATGGTGATTTTTTTTCCCCCTTGGCCTTAACATTGAAAAATATTTTCTGTATAACAAAACATTGGAGGTTCATAGTCTATCAATTTGATTTATTAAAATTTAGATACCTTTTGGTAAGAAAAATCTGTGGCAGAATTTATGGCATAATTTTTATTTGGTCAATGATTTTAGATAAGTAAAGGAAGAAATCCTAAATTTCTCTGATGTCTAAACATGCACCATGTAGTAGTAGTAGTTGATTGTCCTTAGTTTCTCTTGACAAAAGAGTATTTAGAATGCTTGGTAGATGGTTTTAGTAATCTCTCTTTTTTTTTTTTAATAACCTCTGTTGAAGTGCCGCTAAACTGCTTTTGATAGTAAAATTCTTGCATAATCAAATCACATGCTTCTTAATAATGCATAACATTTATTAGCTGATTTAATTTACATTAGGATTACCCCGGGAATATTTTATAAGCTGATTATTCTTTCAATGAGAAGAATAGAATATTGGGGTGCCTAGGTGGCTCAGTGGGTTAAAGCCTCTGCCTTCAGCTCAGGTCATGATCCCAGGGTCCTGGGATCGAGCCCCACATCGGGCTCTCTGCTCTGTGGAGAGCCTGCTTCCTCTTCTCTCTGCCTGCCTCCCTGCCTGCTTGGGATCTCTCTCTCTGTCAAATAAATAAATAAAATCTTAAAAAAAAAAAAAAAGAATAGAATATTAAAAAATATTCTTAGTTATACATAAAATAATTGCTTTTAGACTTGGGGAGAGGGATGGGCATAGGGCAAAGACATATAAACTGCCAAAAGCAGTGTGGTCTTTACCCTTCCATTATCAAGGTTAAAAAGTAGAGGAAAGATGATAAGCATTTCAGATGGAATAACATTTGACATCCTATTACTTGTTTTGTGTATAGTACTTACAGATGTTATAAATTCTAAATTGTATTTGCTCTTAAGATGCATAGATGAGAGATTTTTAGTTTAGGAAGGAATCTCAGATACGAATCACAATTGTTATGTGCTGAATTGTGTCTCCCCGCCCCCCAAATTCATGTTGAAATTCAACCCCCCAGGACCTCAGAATATGACTATAATTGGAGATAGGGTATTTAAAGAGTTAATTAGAGTAAAATGAGATCATAGGAATGGGCCCTGATCCAGTATGATTGTGTCCTTATAAGAAGAGGAGATTAGGACACAGACGTACAAAAGAAAAGACTATGTGAGGGTAGAAGGAGAGATGATGATTATCTACAAGCCAGGGGGGAAGCCTCATAAGAAACCAACCCTGACAACACCTTGATCTTGGACTCCTAGCCTCCAGAACCGTAAGAAAATAAATTTCTGTGGTTTATGCCACACAGGCTGGTATTTTGTTATGGTAGTTCTAGCAAATGAATACTATTAATAAGAACCTTTAAAAAAAGAATTGGTGACTGGTTTCAGGATTATATATTTTTAATGTAAAACAAATTGGCACCAAGAATGCGCCTATTTTCATCTTCTGTTTTGCACTTTTGTTGAACTTTATTTTACCCTCAGGGTTTTCAGGCTATCAATATATTTCCTTTTGGTGGCCGCAAGGGTAGCGTATCTGAAGATCCTGATACTCTGTTAGTTGATGGTGTGCTGAATGAAGTTTGTTTCTTCTGTTTTTCTTCAAAAGTAGAAACGATATTTGAAATTTTGACCAGTCGGATTATATTACAACATGAGGCATGTTTTCGACTTTTTGTCATCACCGCCACCTCCTACATCTTCTGTGGGTAGTAAAAATGAGAAAAAGCGGTAGCATTGGGAATCCATGGGCACGCAGTGTTTATTCTAAAACTCTGATGATGTTAGTATCAACTTCATAGCTAGTTAATAGTTGTTAACTTAGAACAAGTACTAAGGGTTTGACCATTTAAAAAAAACTTGAATTCATGTTCAGAGTTGACCCATCTGAAAAACAGAATCTTATAAATGATTAACCAATTAACATCTGTTTCTCAAGCAAACCACTGAACTGCACAATCTGGGCATCTGAGTTGTTGCTTTGTGCCAGGCACAAAGCTTGTTGCCTGAAAATACAAAATAATGTTTTTAGTTCACAGAGACTTGCCAGGGTAGCAGGAAGAAAGTTCAGAAGTAATTTTTTATGCAAATAAAGATAGAAGATTTATATCTGATACACTGAATACGAACAGAAAATGTCAGGAGCCACTTAAAGAATCTGATAGCCTGTTCATCATAAAATTGAGATAGGGATTAAATTTAATTGTACTAAGAAATACCTTTGCTTTCCACTTGCATAGTAGAATTTACCCCTTTTGTTATCTTTTTGAAGTGAAAATCAGGTTCTTGCTTTCCCATCTAAATCCCTTTAAAGACTTCCCTTTGCTCCTCTAGAGGACAAATCCTCAAGCAAGGCCTTTAAGGCAGCATTATCCTGCCCAATTGCCTTACCAGCTCTACCTGGTACTTAGCCCAGCTTGCTCTCTAGACTCTGGCTACACCAGCTTTTAGATTCTTCAGTCGCACCAAGCTTATTTCCACTTCAAGGCCTTCGTGCATATTCTGTTCCTTTGCTTCCTCCCCACCCTCTCCCCCTTTCTTGGCTTAGCCAAAGCCTCCAGTCTTCAGAGTTTAGCATAAGCATCCTTCTTCAGGAAAGTCTTACCCCATGCTTCCTCTGATAGTTATAATCAATTGTTCATGATGATAGATAATCAGTTCATTTATTGGTTTAATGTCTACCTCCCCAACCACAGGGTAAGCTCTGTGTGATAAGGACCCCAACTTTCCCCAGGCCCTGCCTAACCCAGGGCCTTGTACAGAATAGACCCCCAATAAATACATTGGTGAATGGGTATCAAGAAGTCAAACTCCTAACTTTTATTCTGTTGAAGGACATCCTTAACCTTTTAAGCAAACCACTTTCTCCCTCCATGATTTGTTGGTTACAGGAATAAAATTTCCTACAAAACCTTTGAAGTGCTGAACCCTCAAGACAAAATGCAAAGTGGTGACATTAGCATTCCCATTTCAAGATGACATTTGAGTCATCTGATAAACTCATAGTTGATCCCAGCAGAGTAATTTCAGGAGTAGAAGTTTCATCAGGAAAAACCACTATCTGGGGACATTTGAGGCACAGCCAGTCTTGAAATACCTGCCAAGTCATCCCATTCAGCAGGCCAGCTCTGCTTTCATGTGGGGCTTCCTTAAGTCTAGAAGGGAGGCTGGAGGTCTGTAAAATCTCATATAGAGAAGAATATTGAGCTCAGAGGTTAAGCAAGTTGCCCAAAGTAATAGCTAACATGTAATGTTAGTACTAAATTTGTTTTCTCACTTAACCCTGATCCCACTGATTCTATGGCTTTCATATTTCTAAAATCTCAGTATTCTGTGGAGGTGATTAGGAGCCACATACCAGAGTGGATGAAGAAGGCTAGCCCCAACCCCTACTTCAGCTGAACCAGTCAATTTTCAATCTGAAAAGCACTAATCAATTTATTATATATAATTACTTG